TTTCAGGAGAGAGGGATCTTGAGGGCTGTCTAGCCATCACTTATCCTTCACTCAACACTATGATGTGGATAAAAAGGATCCACGTGCCTAGAAGTGAAAGGTGAAAGTAAATACAGCCAGTATAAAATAACTTGGGAGAAAACCATAGGATGTTGGAATAAAGAACCTTTTTTAAATAGGGCACCGAAAGTACGCACTGCTTTTGGCTGTTTTAACTCTTTTGGGGCCTCGCCACCCAGCTCCCAAATAAATCACACACTGAGGGTTATTTTTAATTATAAATGCCCGGCCTTAGTATGGCTTGTTTCTTGCCAGCTTTCCTTAACTTTAAATTATCCTGTCTACTTTCTGCCTTTGGGCTTTTCCCTTTTCTTACTTCTGTAAATCTTACTCTTACTCCATGGCTTGCTGTGTAGCTGAGTGGCTGGTCCCTGGAGTCCTCCTCCTTCTCCAGCTGCTAGCTCTCTCACTCCAGGTTTCTCCCTCTATATATTTCCTCTGCCTGCCAGCTCTACCTATTCCTTTCTCCTGCCTTGCTATTGGCCATTCAGCTCTTTATTAGACCATCAGGTGTTTTAGACAGGCACAGTAACACAGCTTCACAGAGTTAAATAAATGCAACATAAACAAAAGTGACACACCTTAAGATAATATTCTACAATAACTAACTATAAAAGATATGATTGACAATTTCAAAATAAAAGTAAATTTTCTGAAAAAAAATTTTTTTTTTCTTGAAAGGTGCCTTTTTTTTTAAATTAACAAGTGTTTATTGTTATTGTTTTGGAAAGTTCTGTTCTACACTTGTTTTTAAAGCCAAATATCTATATTTTTACATTTTCTATAACAAATACAAGAATTAGACCCTCAAAACATTTTTAAAATTTAGATGTGTTGTTTGGTCAATTCTTTTGTATTTCTAAGAATTCACACTGTATTAATGCCATTTATTACTAAAAAAAGATTAAAATCATTTTGGACTTTTGACTAGTTGTAGAAGCTTAAATCTAATGATAATTTTTGCCAGTATTCCAATTTCACAACACAAAATTTTCTAATCTTTCCAAGAATTAAGATGATAAATTCTTATACACACACACACACACACACACACATTTAAAGTTCCTTTGAGTTACACACTTTGGTTTTGAAAATATCTTCCAATTCTGAGAAATTTGGTAATATAAAGCTTGCTACTGAAAAGGCATGTAAATTAATGTGCAAACTGGAACTCCTGTAAAACCTCTTGCCTGGAAAGGTCTATATATATTTACCAGTTTTTTTCCTTCATTTTACATATCTACCACAGTTTTCTCTCCCTCCTCTCTGCCCGTTCCCCCTCTCCCTTCTACCTCCCCCCCCCACTCCTCCTCAGTCTCCATTCAGAAAGGGACAGGCCTCCCCTGGCTTGAACAAAACAGGGCACATCCAAGTGGTGGGAGGACAGAGCTCCTCCCCCTGTGTAAAGGTTGTGCAGGGTAATCCAGCATGGGAACCAGGTTCCCAAAAGCCAGCTAAGTGCCAGGGACAGGTCCTGATCTCACTGCCAGGAGCCTTACAAACAGACCAAGCTACACAACTGTCACACCTATGCAGAGAGCCTAGGTTGGTCCCATGCAGGCTCCCTGACTGTTGGTCCAGAGTCTGTGAGCTTCCATGAGCTCAGGTCAGCTGTCTCTCTGGGTTTCTCTGTCATGACCTTGACCCACCCTGGCTCGTACAAACCCTCCTCCCCCTCTTCAGCTGGACTTCTGGAGCTTGGCCTGGTGCTTGGCTGTGGAACTCTGCACCTGCTTCCCTCAGTCACTGGATGAAGGCTCTATGATGACAGGGAAGTCACCAGTCTGATTACAGGAGAAGGCCAGTTCAGGCACCCTCTCCACTACTGCTAGGAGTCTTAGCTGGGGCCATCCTTGTGGATTTCTGAGTTTCCCTGGCACCAGGTTTCTCCTTAGCCCTCTGTCCTGTCCCCAAACCACCTCTTCCACCCGCCCAACCTGATCCCTCAAGTTCCCATTCCCCCACTCCCCCGCTCAGTTTACCCAAGAGATTTCTTTCCCCTTCCCAGGGAAATCCATGCATCCCTTGTACAGGAGAACCAGCATATAATTCACAGCCCCATAGAGGCTAGATAAC